AAAAAATTTTCTATAATTAATATAAATGTCTTGTAAATTAAGTTTTGTGAGATCAAAAATATTTATTTGTGTGGGAGATATATACTATTTGACATATAGATAAATATGTTTTATCTTTCTTATTTTTAATTTCGCATATTTTAATCTTGCTTTTGACTCGGGTCAAAAAAATCTAATAGTTATTGAAAGAAAATAAGATATTCTCAAATATTTTCTATATTCTTAAAATAAAATCCTTCTTATTAATTACCATATATTTATTGTTTTCATATATTCATCTTTAAAAAATTTTAATAATTTTTATTAGGAGTTCCCTAAATTAAATTACACCTAAGATTTTTCATCTAGTATCTCATTTATTAATATATAGAAGATATTTTGTATGAGTTCAATGCAGTATGATTTCATGGCCACAAAAATCGCAAAATCAATTAACTCAATGATGACTGACATGTAAGATTCTCCAAGCGTCTCATTACTCTTGGCAAATCAGATTTGTACTCACAAGGTGGTTTTACGAGAGTGGGAAAAAAAAAAACAGTTCGGCCGGTAACTCTCAAGGTCTAGAAGATTATTGAGCTTAGGATCCCAAGAACTCATACTATGCACTTACCAAAGGAGTGGTGGCCTAGTGGTAACACAAGGGAGTTGGTTTTCTTGTGCCCAGGTTCAAACCTCTTTTGGGATGAAGAGTATTTTTAAATCGGAATATCCAAAGATTGTCTCCGGATATCGGAGAGATTATGAGATTCTACAATTTAAAAAAAAAAAAAACTCAAACCATGCTCTTTGCTTGCACCTCATAAAAACTCGAGTTTCAAATGAAAAATGATGATAAGAAAAGGTCACTTATCGCTGATAAATTGTTCTTGTCCAATGGTTTGAATTTTAGAAGTTCATGCCATGACAACCACATTGCATGTAGAATAATAGCTCTCTCGTTTGGATTACTTTTGAATTTAAATCCGGTCTAACGATAATTCATTATAAACAGATGCAAAGTTACGATTTGAATAACGTTTCACGTAACAAGTCAGGTGATTGTGATATCACTTATGAACGAGTCCAAATTTTGAGCCGAAGATCCACCGGGTGCCATCGCCAATCTCGCAGCATGCTTCAGCTCCACCGCTCTCCTCCTCATATCCGCGGCGGCTGGTCCCTCAGTCACGGCCACAATGCATCTCTCTACCTCTGCAACCTTAAGCTCGCCGTCTTCGTCGTCGTTCCTCATCCTCACTCCGATTCCAAACACATCCACGAGCAATCTCGCGTCAATCGGCTGATCTGTCCAGCTCGGATACGCCACAACCGGAACACCAGCCGCCACCGTCTCGATCGTCGAGTTCCAACCGCAGTGCGTGACGAAGCAAGAGATCGCCACGTGGCTCAGTATCTTCTCTTGTGGACTCCACTCAATGACAACTCCTTGTCCTTCTTTGATCATCTCCTGCAAAACCTTGACGTTTTCGCCTCTCTCTTTAGGCCTAATCACCCATAGAAATGAGACTCCTCTGTTTTTCAACGCCGTTGCTATGGTCTCGACTTGATTCTCCGACGATTTGAGTATGCTTCCGAAAGATATGTAAACAACAGAAGACTTAGCTTGCTTGTCAAGCCACTCCATACAATACTCATCTGGTTTCCACAGATCAAGATTTTTCCCATCTAGGGCTTCATCTTCATTAGCTCCCAACAAGAAAGGAGAAACCAGAGGACCGATTGGGATCATGGGCTTTAAATCAGACATCGAATCGATTATCTCTGATTCGAGTTCATAGAAAGAATTAACCAAAACCCATTTCACATCTCTCAAGCAATCGACGAAGTCCACCATTAGGGTATTGAAGTGACTTCCGGAAGAAGGCAAGAGAAACGAAGGGAGATCTCGGACTTCCAACAATGGTAAAGCCGGTAATTGCACTGTTTGGTTAAGGTCTTCGAGATCATCGGGGAAAGAGTTTGTCTTCATGTGATAACGGTAGTAAATCGAGTAAGCTCCACAAGCTTGGATCCAGAGGATTGCACAAGGTATGTTATGAGCAACTGCAACAGCTGGAACCCATGGAGTAAAAGGTGAAGAGATTATGCAAGAGAATCTCTTCTCTTCGATGATTTTAGACAAGTTCTTGGCTCCGACATTTCTCAATGATTCAAGGAGAGATCCGTCGACTCTTGGATCGTCTTCAGGCAGATCGTCGGAGAACAAAGCGAGCTCCACCGGGCTAGGGGGTTCGTCGACGGTGGCGGAGGCGGCACAGAGAAAGTTACGGGCTTGCTCGGTGGTGGCGAGAGTGAAGTGGAGATTCGTTGGTGAGAGATGTTTGGCGAATTTGAGCATTGGGTTGAGGTGACCTTGGAATGGTAGTGTTACCATTAGGACATGTGTCTCTTGACCCTCACAACTTCCCATTTTTATGTATAATTATTGTTTTTCGTTATGAATAATAGTTGTAGAGGTGTTAGATTTTTTTGGACTTGATGAGTTTGGCATGAAATTGTGAAAATTCTAGTAGTTTATATACTGATAATTGTTTAACGATAGATTTGCTTTAAAAAAGACATTAATTGAGATTTTGGTAAGGAAATCTCTGTGTAGTAATTGCTAACCCAATAAAATGTACGTAAGGAGATTCGATGTTATTGATTCATGGTTATGTGCATTGGATCAATTACAAATCTTATCTTTTTAACTAAAGTTTTTTGTTTGTAATAGTGTGACACATAAGATAATTACAAATATCATATATTGATGTATCAACAAAAACTTTAACGAGATTTTAACATGTGTTAAGTATTGTTTCTTTCTTAATAAAGTCCTTGC